CTGCTTACTGATAACAGTTTCCCCAGAAGTTCCTGAGAGTCACCAAACCTTAATAGTCAGCGCTGGCAGCCCTATCTCATCTCACATGATGGGTGACAAGAGATATGATTCCCTTTGGTATTCCTGAAAGCAGATAGTGCAAATATGCAAGAGCACTCAAAAATCTACACAGTATTGTTAAGCTGTATAAGCACAGCGTTAAATACACATTTGTGCCCACAGAATGAAACAGCAATGTGACGGATGCTTTCAAATCACTCAGAAGGCAAAGTTCCTTAAGGGTTCTACGAACTGCCAAGTCTCTTGGGGTCTGAGCATCTAAGATCTGCGTATTAACACCTGCTCTGGGTTGAGTTTGTCCCCACCAAACTCATGTTGAAATTTGGTCCCCAGTGTGGCGGGGTTGGGAGCCGGGGCCTAATGGGAGGTTCTTGGGTCATAAGGACAGATTCCTCCTGAATGGCTTGGTGCCATTCTCAAGGTAAAGAGTTCTCACTCTGGCAAGACTGGATTAATTCTCTCAGGAATGGATTAGATCCACAAGAGTGGGTTGTTACAAAGCCAGGACGTCCCTTGAGTTTGGCCTCTTCACACGTATCTGCTTCCCCTTTGACTTTTTCTGCAATGTTATGGTGTAGCACAAAAGCCCTTACCAGAAGCCAGGCCATGCCCTTAAACTTTCCGGCCCGCAAAACTGTGAGCTAAATAAAGCCCTTTATTTGTAAATCACTCAGTCCCACATATTCTGTTATAGTAACACAAAATGGACTAAGCCAGTACCCAATCCAAGTCATTTTATGCCACATGGATTTGCACCTACTTGGAGAGGTCAGAACCAATAAGGAACATTCTACACACAACACCTTACTTCTTCCTGGTGGCTTGTTAAAGTTTGGTGAATGGGCCGGGCGCAGTGGCTCTTGCCTGTAAACCTAGCACTTTGGGAGGCCAAGGCAAGGGGATTGCTTGAGCTTAAGTGACCAGCCAGGGTAACATAGTGAAACCCATTCTCTACTAAAATATAAAAAGCTAGCCAGGCATGGTGGTGTGTTCCTGTAATCCCAGCTACTCAGGAGGCTGAGACAGGAGAACTGTTTGGATCCGGGATGTGGAGCTTGCAGTGAGCCGAGATTGCGCCACTGCACTCCAGCCTGGACGACAGGACAACATCCTGTCTCCAAAAAAAAAAAAAAAAAAAAAGTTTGGTGAAAGGCCTTTCTTTAGAGTTGCAGGAACTCCTGCCCTGAACTTCTCAGTGAAACAGATCTCAATTGGTCTTATGCTCCTCCCTCTCACCCATTTTTTCTTTTGCTGTTTCATTGCTGACAGCATTCAACAGTAATACGCCCCATCTTTATGTATCGTAAGAAACACTAATTCTAGGTTATTACAAGCAGAAATATTTTTATCCTGAATAACACTGTTACTGGGCCAAAAGATAGATCAGGAGTTCAAGACTTTAGTTTCCTGAAATTGCCAGGTCAGGCACAGGGGGAAGGGCTCCTGGATATTGACTAACTTGGGTAGGCCTAGCCAGGAGAAAGACAGCAACATGTGTTCTGTACTTTCTGGGAAGATCCCTGAAGCCATCACGGAGGCTCCCCAACTTCCAAGTCACCCATCTGTTGCTGTGGCAGTGGGAATGGATTACTTAAGGTGAGGGCATTTTGCTTGCTGTAGGTGAGCAAATTTCATGGGTTCTCTGTTTTGCCTCCCTCTGACTTCTTCCTCCAGTGCCTTCTCCTTGTGTGCCACAGGGGATCAGGGATTCTCACCCTCCTGAGGCCCAGTGGGGAAGAGTGAACATGGCAGCCTCAAGATTAGCTGAAGCTGCCATTTGCCCAGCCTCTTCCATCCCAGCCATGTCAGTGAGCCCAGGTCTGGTGTAACTATTACAGAATACCTGTAGCAGGGAACTCTGGAAGTGTATTGGGCTGAGGTGGGGTTTTCCCTCCCCACAGTTCCCTGAGCAATGGAAGTGGTGAAGGGTGAGGGAGCCATGCTGCTGATTTCTGGTTGGCATTGCCCCCTTGTGTAAAATGGGGAGTTGGGGTGGGGCAGCCTCTGCTTGGATTTGGTTGTAAGATAAACCTGGAGGAGAAAGAAAAAGTTTGGTGAACGGTACCCAGTGTCCCCTGGAATTGAGGTGGAGGGGCAGGGCTAAGGAAGGCTTCTAGTATCAGTTCATTGATTTGGTCTCACTGCTTCACAGTGGCTGAGTCACAGCTCCCTATGAATTCTATGCCAGTCCTTTACAGGAGCTGTTTGGTGTCACGTCCTGGCAGTAGTCCCGGAGCTAAGAGGGACCACCAATCTTACTAATAAGGAAACTGGGGCCTGGAAAGTTGGCAAAATCTGTCCAAGTTTATGGGTCTAGGTCCCTGCTTTACCAAGGGTGACCTGAAGCCATAGAGCCAGTGGCTTCATGGCCTCATCCTCAGCAGCCCCTGTGAGCTACCCAAGACCCCAGAGTCCTCCCACATCACACAAGGCCTGGGGCACCCCCAGAGATTTTCTTAGACAGTCTTAATGTCAATACCATGTTTTCTCGTCTAACCAGGTTACCTTAAAAATGTGTGTACCCTTAACCCCAGGTATTTTCATTCTAAAATATAACTTCAAGAAATAACGTATTAATAACTTCAGGAAATAATAAGTCAGGAGCACAAAAATATGCAACAAGGGTAGTCATTGCAACTTTATTATTAGAGCAAAACTCTGCAAAGTATCCAAACACTCAAAATACTGCAATTTGCTTTATAAATGATAGTCTATCCATACAATGGGATGTGGTGATTTAAAATAATGATGTGTACAATTATTGACATAGAAAGAAATTTAGCCATTTATTTAATGAAAACAAGCACGTTTGTAAAACAGTATCTAGAAGACAAAGGATCCAGTTTCTTCAACGTAACAGTGGCATGTAAACCAAAATGTAGGAGGAACTATAATAAGGAGGCTTAAGAAAGAACAAAAAATTTAAAAAAAGGCTTCATATATCAACCACATGCAATATGTTTAAATCCTGATTCCAGAAAAGCAAGTGTAAAAAAGTACAGTTTTGGCTGGGCATGGTGGCTCATCCTGTAATCTCAGTGCTTTGGGAAACTGAGGCAGGAAGATTGCTTGAGGCCAGGAGTTCAAGAACACGCTGGGCCACAGTGAGACCTTTTTAAATTTTTTTCTCTACAAAAAGTAGCCAGGCATGGTGGCGCATGCCTATAATCCCAGCTACTCCGGAGGCTGAGACAGGAGGATCACTTGAGCCCAGGAGTTTGATATTGCAGTGAGCGCTGATCAAGACCCTGTCTTTGGGGGAAAAAAAAAAAAAAAAAGTAATTTTTTCTGTTTTTTTAGATTAGGGAAAATACAGCATGGGTTGATTGGGTATTAGCTATTATGAAATTATTATTAGTTTTATCGGGTATAGTAATGGAAATTATTTAATAATTGTGATTTTTTTTAAAGTTCTCATCTGTTACGAGTAAAATGAAAAAAGTAAAGCACACTCCCTTAATGTTTACAAATGCATGTACATGTTTTATATGTATAGATTCATGGAAAGGGGCTGCAGGAAGCCCAGGAATTCATTCCTACCACCACCACAACCCACTAAGTGCTCAATCAATACTGATTGTCTCAGTGAATCAGTCCCGGAACCAAGCATGTGAATTCCCCACAAGCTCTGTGACCTTAGAAGCTCCAGCAGCCTCTATGTGCTTTGCCACCAGTGCCTGGCACTTGATTCAGGCTTTCAGTCAACACTGAGGACCCCACCCAGTCAGCAACACCAGTGCTAGTGAGTGAAGAGGTGTCAGGGCGGAGAGCTGGGAAGAACCCTTCAGGCAACCTGGAGGGTAGAAAGCAGCAGACTGCTCCACGGACCCTAACCGAGAAAGGGGACATGTTGGCTCCAGCAATTCCCTCTTGCAGGCCACCTCTGGCTACAGCAGATGCTGGTGTGAAGTCACCTCTGCACTCAGGCACTGGTTCTCTGACATCTTCCCCACCCAGTCTCCCTTGTGTAGCACAGTCCCGCCTCCTCCCTCCTGGCTCCTAGTGTGTGTGCAGGAGGCCTGTTGGGGAGTTGGTAGAGCCAGAGATTAGGAGAAGGGGAGGCAAATAGGATTTACGGGATATTTGCCTTTCCTAAGAACTGTCCTCTGCTCATGATGTCAACCTAGGTTCAAGGTACGGTGGCCAAATAACAGGGAAGCAACGCTGACTATTAGCAGCCAGCTGTGACAGAGGCTGGGTGTGGCTACAGGCGGTGGGGCCTGGTCAGGGTCATCTCTGGGTGGCCTCCTCCACACACTGACTTCTACCTAGGGCTCAGGGAGGAGAAGGATGAAGGGACAGCAGTGAAATGGCTTCGCAAGAAGTGCATAGTCTGCAGGAAGTGCCTCCAAGACACCAGCAGACATTCTCTGGTAGAACCTCTGCCCCTCACTCCCAGCTTCTTTCTCCTCTTAAAGCTCTGGCTGAAGCAGACACAGAGCTCCTTCCCTGGGCACCTGAAAGTGGGCACAGGGTGTGAGGATGTTCCCACCAAGATTGCTGAGTGCATCTTCTCATCAGTAGGAGCTGCTTGGTGGGGGTGGTGCCATGGGGGCATCCTTTGTCCCCTAGGACTGGACCCCTCTGGCCTATGAGAGGCAGCATGTTGTAAACGATTTGATGCCAGGATTCCTGGGTTCTGTCTAATTCTGGGCCATTGACTAACCCACTGTGTGATCTGCCAAGTCACTTCCACAATCTGAGCCTCAATTTCCACCCTTGTTAGCCGAAGGGTTGTGTTAAGACAATCTTAAGGTCTCCTCTGGCATTTATATCTTCTTTATCTACAAAATGATTGTGTATGTGACTTGTGAGGATTAGACATAATTCATATCAATGAAATTATATTTGGTACAGAAAATATGTCACCTTCAAAAATCCTGGGATCCTTTCCTCCGGGAAATGGGTAACATAAGTCCATTGCCCACTAAACAGCAGCATGAGTCAGATGCCACTAACAATATTTATTACCCAAAGCAATCTGACAGATTCGGGCACAAGGTCATGGCTTTCCCACGTTACAAGAAAATCAGAACCTCTTCAAACTCACCCTCCACCCACAGTCAAAGTAAGGGATTAAAGGCTACAGCTCAAGCTATGTCATGGCTACTATCTCCTCATTCTTGATGAATAATCTCCAAGTCACAAGTGGGCATGATGCGATTTGGATCCAAATCTTACCAGAATAAAAAACAACCCACCATTAAAATAAGACAAGTTCATAGAAATCATTTCAACAGAAAGATATCAAGAGCCTTTACTGGCAATGAGAAGAGGAAAGATTTTCTGTTTATAATAACCAGAAAGAAATGGAATTGTCTAATAATCATCAGTTGAGTATGAGCCTAGTAGGGGATGCTAATCTTCCGGGCTGGGGAAGTCTTGTGAGCTAACCAGACCCTCCTGGTCTCTGGTGAGGTCAACAGGTAGCAGTTTCCTGGTTGCCTAGTAACAAGGGACCGTGTTTAGGGTTGGGGTGGGGTGAGGTATGTTGGGGAGGGGGGCCTTCACTTGGCAAGTGAAATAACACAATTCTCAGGAGTTGAAAAAGAGGCAATCTTCAAACAGTGCTGAGAAGTCCTCTTACTTTTTCCACATTAGGGGAATGCAAGCTGGTTTAACCTCACATGACACTTCCTTTTTTGTTTGTTTTTTTCATTTGATTGGTTTGAAAATTATCCTGGATCCAGGAAGGTGATGCCTTTTCTTATTCTCCTTTTATCATCAAACCAAACAGCCAATGTGTCTCTAGAGACATTGCATTCTAAACTGAATGTGCTGACAAGCCTTCATCCCAGACCCTGAGTGGCAGGTTTTCATGAAAATCAGCTTCTGGGCCAGTTAAGTCTTCATGAAATTATCTTTTCATAACTCAGCCCTCATTCCCCTCCGGGTCAGTAGCAGTGGAACCAGGAAACCCACGGGCCAGATTTCCTTACTCAATGAAGGCACTCCAGGAAGAGTTCCCGGCACCTGCCTGCCAAACTCCGCTCTGCTTGCTGGACTTTGCTCAGCATGAACAGGCCACTCTGGCTACAAGTTCCCCCAAACCATCCCAGATTGTATCTTTAAGGCACACCAATTCCTCTGCATAAGGACTTCTGTTCATGATGAGTTATATTAATTATTCTTAACATTCAAAAGAGAAAGTTCTGCATGAAAGCCCACCCCTGTCCAGCCACTGTGCCCTGAGATCCCGATACTGTGCGGATGAGGGCAAAGCCAATAAACATCAGGGATTCTGGTCATTGGGATCACACTTGAGCATGATTTTCAACCCCAATCCCTTTTTAAATGTTTCAAAGGCTTCCAGAGCTTTCTCCAGAGGAAATCTATGGGTGACGAGGGGTTTTATGTTCACAGACTTGGACGCAAGCATCGAAATCGCCACTGGCCACCTGTAAAAGAGCACGAGCATTATATTCAACCTTCAAGAGGAAAGAGCCAGGTGCCCAAAACTACCAAGCACTAGATCAGCTTGGCCATATTATTGATAGCACTGCGGTTCGGCAAAGCCAATTTTACAGGCCAACAACCGAGGAAAGGACCTTATGGCTTACGATTCAGGGGTACAGAGCCTATTTCCAATTTCCCCCACCCCCTCACTCTGCCATGTCTGCCACGGAGCCTAGAATTCCTGTGGCACGAAGGAACAAGGCACATGGTGGAAGCCACTGGGAAGAGGCAGAGAAGCCGTGGGGAGGCAGCCCAGGACAATCCAGTCACACCCACTAACAGCTCAGCTTACTGGAAAGCTGGTGCCCTGATGAGGGCATGGAGTTGCAGCCTCTAAAGCTAGGAGTAAGGGACACTGCCGCAGAGTGGGGTCCCAGCCAGAAGGTCCCAGCTGGGGAGAGGGTGGAGCTGCGGAACACCGGTGGGGCAAACTAAGACCCTTTCGCTCCCCAGGGTGGGCCCTAGGGCTCAGAAATGGGAGCCACAGGACTTGATTTCTTCCTTCTGTCCTTTCTCTTCTTCTTCCCTTTAAAGGGAGAAAATGGAGATCTGGCAACTTAAGAAAATGGCGGCGGGGAAAAAGGGGCCTGGCGGGGATAAACAGCAGACACCCAGTAAGAGCATGCTTCAAAATCCCCTCCTTCCTTCCCTCCATTCATTCTTCTGTCCTTCCCATTCTTTAACTGGGAATGAGTGTTCTCTCTTTGGATCCCTGTTATATCACACAGCTATCAGTGTGGCCAGGGAGTGCCCCCCATGAACAAACAGGCAGAGACTCATGGGCCCAGAGGCTGAGTGGGGCCTGCCCTGGTCTTGCTGGAGGCTGGGCATCCTGGCTCACCCACAGCATACTCACGTGTTGCAGTATCGAAACACGCCCTTGATATCCACCTCCCGGATGGCTGCATGCAGTAGGGGTATGGTGGTCATCTCAGAGCCCAGCCCCACAAGCACCAGGGTCCCACCAGAGCGAGTGGCCTGGAAAAGGAGGTACAAACAAGAAAGCTCAGAAGATAAGAAATACTGACTTCCCACTTACAATAACGTAGTATCATCACACAAGTATCTTCTGGTTGCATCAGCTGAGCATCTCAAAATTCCAGAGAATGTGATTCTTGTACAGTGCTGAACTGCTCAACCTGCCAACCAAACTTAACAGAGTGGCAGAGTAAACACTGTTTCCTTTAAACCTTCTGAAAAAATACACTTAACCCACGGAGAACCAGGCACAGTGGGAACGTCTTCCAAAGCTTTACAGATTCGGGACCCAATATTGGCTTCAGCCAGCTCCACAGTCTAAGCACCCGTTCCTCCCGCAGAGCGCCCTCCACAGGCAGCGCTTTCATCAGAGCTGGAAGGAACCGCCGGCCCTCTAAGCTCACCGGTGCTGAGAAAACTATAAACACGAGACAGATGAGTCACTTATATTCTGTGGTTAAAAAAGGCTTTATAGGTGTGTGCAGGCTGGCGGTTAGAAATCGTTTTGTTCCAGAGATGTTTTCCTCAACAGTATGAGCCATAATGGGTTTTGTCTTTCCTTGAATGTTTATCTGCCTTATCAGTTGCCCACTTGGAGTGGGCAATTTCACAGGTGGCTGCGAAATTTCTCCTGAAAATTTCCCCAGAACTCCCTGTGAGTGCCGTGCTTGTTCCAGAGCTTTCTGGGGATCACTGTGCTCAGTGTGGTGAGAGACAGAACAATGGACAATTCAGTCATGCTGGCTGTTCATTATAGTCAGTAGCAAGCATTTATTGGGACCATTCTAGGTGCTAAACAGTGGAACTAGAGAAAGGCACACGCCACAGCCTCCGCTTCTGAGATGAAGGATACACCATGGAGAGAGGCCTGCGGTGCTGTGAGCAAGAGGTGAACTCAGGGTGTGAGTGGTGTGGGAGTGACTCCTGGGGCTGCCGCTTCAGCCCTCTCAGCCCATTTTCTAGGGAAACTACTTCCTCATCAGCACTTCCTCTCTACCTGGTGATGAGGAGGAACACCAATTGGCCATCCCAAGCTGCCAAGATGCCAGCAGTTTGCTGACCCCAGGTCAAGGAATGCTGGAACCACCTGGACACTGTCCTGTAGGTATGGCATCTGCACCAAGGATATGACATCAATTCTACCCCAAGGCATCTGCTGCATCTCATCACAAACACTATCCAGTCAGAACCTGGCAGGACCGTGATGCTCAGATATGTCCGTATTTGGTGCAGCCGCCTAGCCTGCTCATTGGCGGGGAGGCCTATAGCATTCTACAGCACCTGTCATGCATGACAGTCCCACTCCCTACATCAAGAGAGACACTGCTGCAGGTCCGGTGAGGCCCATGGGTCACATTCACCTCCATGCTGCTTCAGGTAGCCTGGCAACCAGGCCGCCACCATCAACAGCTGGAAATGCCAACTGTTCCAAATGCTCTAAGGACCAGGCACAAGAGGAAGGAGAGACACGTCCTTGAAGTCGCCCAGCTTATACTGCCTCTCTGTGGGGTGGAGGTCACTGACCTGCCAACAACTTGAAGACAGTAGACACGACTTACTCATGTCTTAGCCCTCAAAGTGCCCAGCACAAAGCCTGGCACATGGCAGGTACCCAAGACATACCATGGGTAGATCAGTCACACACAGACCCATTGTTCCTCTCTGAGTTTCAGCGTCTTTTTGCCCCTTTCCCCATGGCGACCACTGCCTGTGACAGTGAAGCAGAGGGCTGGCCGACTCCAGCTGAAACTCAGGACAGTGCCGAGGTGGCACCCGCTCCTCCCTCTCCCCCACTGCTTCCTCAGCTCCTAAGGCCACAGGCAACTTAGTAGAAGGAGGTCTAGGCAGCTCTGCTACTCAGCTTGGTGAGTCAGCCTTCCCTAGAATGTCTCGTGTGATGCGAAGTGCCCTCGTGCATGAATCAGCTGGACTCAGAAGGAAGGAAGAAGCCCACGCTACCGTGGAGAAGCAGTCTGGGAGGCAGGGACGGGAGTCCCCTGTGGTGACAGCTGCCTGTGACCCTCCCCAGCCCTGGCCCTGTCCCCCGACCCTAGCATGGTTGTTTGTCCCCTCCTTCCCCTCCTCTCCTAAGCAGCAGGGCAACTCAGGCACTGGGGCCTGGCAGGGCTGGGCCTGGGCCTGACTCGGCTTGCCTCAAACCAAAAATCCCTCAACATAAAACGGTAACTGATTTTCAGCGTTATTGTGCAGATTAGGCATCATGTTTATAAAGTACAGCAGAGAAGCTGGCATGCAGTAGGGCTTGGAACCTGGAAGTTATTCTCTTTCCCCTCTTTTCCTCGTACTTTGATCTGTCAACGCCACTCCCTCCCACCACCTCCAACTTCCTGCCAACTTCCCATAAGTGGTTGGTGGGTCCCTGAGGGGCGAGTCAGGCATTGGCAGCTTATCTGTTCCTAAGTCTTGGAGACAAAACAAGCAGTAGACACCTGTGAACCTGGAAAATAACCTCGCCTTCATGACTAACTGAATGCCTGTCACTTTATATCAATGACTAAAAGATTGCAGTTTTCCTCAATAAAATAAGACGGGGATTTCCCACATACAATTAAGGCATCATTCCCTGTTTATCTTCTTGATCTTTTTACCAAAACTACTGCACTTTTATGATCACGGATATGATCACGAAGCCAACCCCAACCCCAAAGTGTGTGTCCTTAACCTTTTTCAAGGCCCATGTATAGCTGTTATCTTGTGTGAACCTCAGATGGCCCAATGAGGATGTAAGGCAAGTTCAAGTACAATCTCCACACTGGAGATAAGAAAACAGAGATAACAAAAGATGAATCAATTTGGCTTGGGGCTCACACAGCAAGCTGGTAAAGAAGCTTCACTCCCCTCTTCTATCTCCTTCACTCCCCTCTTCTATCTCCTTCACTCCCCTATGCTGATTCCCCAAAGCTGCCCTCAGCCCACTCACGTAGATGCCCGCCTGGATGGAGGCCTCTGCCCCCGTGCACTCGATGGTGACTTCCGGCTTGCACCCCAGCAGACCTTCTACTTTACCGGCGATTTCCTGAGGACTTTCCTTGGAGATCTGGAGGACTAAATCAGCCCCAATCTCCTTGGCTTTGGACAACCGGGGAGCAGACAGGTCTGAAGGTAAAGAAAAAGAAAAAAAATTATTTCAAACAGAGAAATCTGATGACTCATTAGGAAGAAAAGAAAATGGAGGTGTAAGATCTGATGGCAGCAAAGCTCTGGTGCAATGGGTGGTGCTGTTGAGCCCAACGCCTCCTCTTCACACCAAGCTTGTCCAACCCGCAGCCTGCATGCAGCTCCGGATGGCTTTGAATATGGCCCAATGCAAATCTGTAAACTCTCTTAAAATAGTATGAGATTAAAAGAAATTTTTTTTAAAGTTCATCAGCTATCGTTAGTGTTAGTATATTTTATGTGTGGCCCACGACAATTCTTCCAATGTGGCCCAATGAAGTCAAAAGATTGGACACCCCTGCTCTATACCCTCATACACTCCCATGTCCACCACACAGCTACACAAACACACCCACACATACACACACTCTCACACAAACTCTCTCTCTCTAATAGCTTCTCCTAACACAAAACACACTCGCACACTCTTCTATATCTCCACAATCCATATGACACTACACACTCACCCCCTCCACACCGTCACAGATAACCTCTCCTCACACATACACATACAGTAGGCCCAGCTGTTTCCCCATCAAGGAGACTGAAAGAGAACAAAGCCTTACCAGTCACCACTACTTGAGCTGCTCCCATTGCCTTGGCCACGAGCAAAGAGACCACCCCGATTGGCCCTAAACAAAGCAGAAGACGGAAGATGTTTGTGAAATATTAAACATCTGCTCTCCCACTTGTCCAGGCCATGGACAGGAACCGTATCTTTTGTGTGTCTCTAGCATCTACCCCAGTGCCTGGCATGATAAGACCTTACCGGCTATTTGTTGAATGCAGAAGTGAATGAATCCATGAAGAATTATTCTCTACATAAAACACGCTCCTAGTGCCGGGTTCCATTTAATCCTCTCAAACCTCAGAGCTAAAAACTTCCCACTTACTCCTGGGCACTAGTGGAGACAATCTCAAAGAACCACAGGATTCAAGGAAACACAAAGTTATTCAGAATATAAGAACTCTTGGAAGATCTGGACTTGTTTTCCTGTTCTTTCTTTGCCCCAACCTTCGTGAGAACCCATCACACCTCCCCTAGAGAGAGACATATTCTTTTTAGGTGTCCTCTGAGGACCACCTGGAGAGGGTCCTTAAGTGAGCTAGCTCCCTGGGTTGGCCCAGGTGCCCAGATAGCCCCAGGATACTCAGGTATGCAAGGATTTTCCTGAGATACCTGCTTCCCCATAGAATCTGCATGCTAAGTGACACTGTGGTTTTAATATAAAAATCAGACCCACAGAATGAAAGCAATGCAGAATATCTCTGGGGATTTACTTTTTGTACACACCCCCTGAGAACAATTTTGTGAACTCCCTCGGAAAACAAAACACTGAAAAATAATACCTGAAATGTCCAACAAAGCAAGATTAAAAAACTATACCACTATTAAAAATTATGCCATAACTCTTTATCTATGGACACGGAAAAATGTTCATAGTAGATTGAATTTTTTTTTTTTTTTTTTTTTTGAGACAGTGTCTTGCTCTGTCGCCCAGGCTGGAGTGCAGTGGCGCAATCTCAGCTCACTGCAACCTCCGCCTCCCGGGTTCAAGCGATTCTCCCACCTCAGCCTCCTGAGTAGTGGAGATTACAGGCACCCGCCACCATGCCTGGCTAATTTTTGTATTTAGTAGAGACGAGGTTTCACCATGTTGACCAGGCTGGTCTCACCCTGACCTCAGGTGATCTGCCTGCCTCAGCCTCCCAAAGTGCTAGGATTACAGGAGTGAGCCACCGTGCCCAGCCTGATTTTTTAAAAAGAGTAGGTGAAGGAAGCGTATTTAGCATGGTCTCAGAAAAAAGCTAACTAACTAAAAGATTCTATACCCAAATATTAATAGTGGATCTCTTGGGCTAATCGGTGACGGGCTTACAGGTGAATTTCTCTATGTGTGTGTTGGGGGCAAGGCATGCATGTATGTGGTATGTGTGACTTATTTTCCTTTTCTATGGTAAAAAGGTACCGGATCCATGCAGATTTTTATAAGAATCTGTCACCTGAGTCCTGCAGTCTGCTAGCCCATTGTGGCAAGTCTATTCTACATCCATCACCCCTCTTAGGAAACCCTGTGATCACTTATTTGGCCTGCCAAAGAAAATCACAAACAAGTATGAGGAACCCCAGATCACACCCACAAGGAGTGTGAGCGTGCTGTCTGGGTCACCAGCAGTTAGAAGCCTAGAATGATTCGGTCTGAGGCTGCTCGGGCCTGTTCCAGATGGCTGGAAACAGGGGATGAGGGAAGGCAGCTAGCTACAACCCTACTGCAGGCAGAGTGCTGGCTCCCAGTGGTGTGGGAGCAAACCACTGCTCACTCCTCCCACTGGCCGGTAGCGGGGTCTACCTTATTCATAGATGGGACTAGGCCATCACTTTGCTGGTATAATTAGAAAGTTCCAAGAGTTGTCCTTCCCTTTACTATCAAAAATATTTCTCTAAGGTGGAGGTTGCAGTGAGCCAAGATTGCATTGCTGTACTCCAACCTGGGCAACAGAGTGAGACTCTGTCTCAAGAAAAAAAAAAAAATTCCCTAGTTTCCCATCAAGGGTTCAAAAATAATCACCAGATTAATTCCTTTTTTTTTTTTTTTTTTTTTTGAGACTGAGTCTCGCTCTGTTGCCCAGGCTGGAGTGCAGTGGCACGATCTTGGCTCACTGCAACCTCTGCTTTCCAGGTTCAAGTGATTCCCCTGTCTCAGCTTCCCAAGTAGCTGGGACTACATGGTGTGCACCATCACGCCTGGCTAATTTTTGTGTTTTTAGTAAAGATGAGGTTTCATCATGTTGGCCAGGCTGGTCTTGAACTTTTGGCCTCAAGTGATCCACCTGTCTCAGCCTTCGAAAGTGCTGGGGTTATAGGCATGAGCCACTGAGCCTGGCCCAGATTCATTCTTTTTGTTTGTTTGTTTTGATATGGGGTCTTGTTTTTTTTGAGACAGGGTCTTCTTCTGTCACCCAGACTGGAGTTCAGGGGCACAATCATGGCTCACTGCACCCTTGACCTCGAAGGTTCAAGTGATCCTCCCACCTCAGCCTTCTGAGTTGCTGGGACTACAGGCACACACTACCACACCGGCTAATTTTTGTATTTTTTTGTAGAGATGGGGTTTCACCATGTTGCCCAGACTGGTCTCGAATTCCTGGGCTCAAGTGATCCACCCGCTTTGGTCTCCCAAAGTGCTGGGACTATAGGCGGGAGCCACCGTGCCCAGCCAATTCATTCTTTAAATGAACGAAAGGGCTATGTTGCTTAGGACATATAACCCTAGTTAATATCATGTCTGCAGATACTCATTTGTTTAGCAAAGTGCTAGTCACTGAGGGAACGGGACACTGCAATCCTCCCGTACCCAGAAGGATTCTAGAACAAATCTCAAGCCTTGGAGGGGGAATGAGATGGACGGAGAGGTCCCCGCATTCCCAGTCAATGAACCCGCAACAGGGTGGCTTCTGTTTCTTACCAGCTCCACACACAAGGACCCTGTGTCCCAGGGTGACTCCACCTCTCCTGCAGGCATGGATCCCCACAGAAAGTGGCTCAATCAGGGCGCCTTCCTCAAAGGTGACGTTGTCAGGAAGCCTGAGGAATCATTTGACATACAGAAATCCTCTGAGTTAACGACAGTGCTAACAATAGTATTATATATGCCCAACGTTACTGTAATAACAACCATAGCTAACACTCATCCAGCATTTATTTATGTGCAGAGCAATGTGCTAAGCAATTTATATACATTAACTCATGTAAAGCCCTGGAATAGTTCTGTGGTAGGTACTATCATTTCCATTTTACAGATGAGGAAACAGGCTTGATGAGTTAAATGACTTGCCCCAGTGGTCCAAAGCTAGTGAGGGGCCCAAAGGGCTCAAATTACAAGCCAGATATGTTCTGATCCCAGAACCTATGCCACAGTGTCCCCATGTGAAGAAGGCAACATGGTTTTCTTTGGAGAAATCAATTCAGTGAAATGAACACATTACATTTCCTTTAATGTGCTATCCAAGGTAAGGCACGGTGGTTATCATTAATAAATGAAAAGTTTACTTAACAAGGAGTTAACATGGCCACGTTCCAGCATCTCGTCTGCTTCTCAAACTTACAGCCTTTTTAGTTTCACGTTAGCAAACAATCCTAACTATCACCAGTTTTGCAGAACAGTGATTTAGCAATGGGCATCACTCTGATAGCCACCCCCCATATTATACATTCCAGAGGAACCACATCTGAGGACAGCAGCTGCCCGGCTCACCCAGGGCCAGTTAAGAGGAAAAAAGGGCCTGTTCCACACAGCTGATTAAATGCTGTGTCACCTTCACTCTGGGTTCTAGGTTTTCACTTCCACTGGCATCTTGACCCTCTCAATAATACCGCTGATGATGATAGCAAGTATTTGCATAAAGCTTTACAGATTAGGAAGCATGCTCATTCATCACCTCATTTAATCCTCATGGTAACCATGTTAGGCAGGTAGGGCAGGCTTTTTTAAAAAACCTTTATTTTACTGAAGAGGAAACTGAAACTCACTGACATTAAGAGAATTGCCAAGGGTATGAAGCTAGGGAATGGAAGGCCAGACTTAACCAAGGTGTCCTGATTCCACATCCTCTGCCTGTCCCATATCAGCTGCCTACTGGTATGAGCAGCTGTGTAGCTAATATTAATATCCAATTTCTGCTAGTTCCTCACTGCCCAGGATTTACCCAGCACCCCAAATCTCCACACACAGGAACATGAAAACCCTCGAGTTCCAGAAAGAAATAAATGGGGCAGCCAAACCATGTGCTCATCCCCATGATCCTCTCAACACTGTCCCCAATCTTCAACAGAATAACTCAGAGTCCTCCTATCACTGTCCCTGATCCTTGACAGAACTACTCACCAGGCCTTTGGAGGCCCAGCTGCCACCCACCACCCCCTTATCCCTTCCAATCGGCTTCTTCCCCATCACTTTCCCTACTCCAATCCACTCTCCTGCTCTGACTGCGGTCACACTCCTTCTACTCCCCCTAGAAGCATCCCTTCTATATAATGGGAAAAAGTTTAAAATGAAATAGTGAAGATTCCTAAACTCTCTCAGGGACTCCACAGGCTCCCAGATACGCCTGCCCTTCCACATCTGGGCTTCCTGAAGAACTCATAAGGGCTCTATGCAGAGGGTGGACTGCATGGAAGCTACATCGAGGAGAGATGGGATTGGGGAAGGTGATGAGGGAAGACTGTTATCAGGAAGAATACTCTACTGATTAAGCAGACGCTGCCTCATCCGCCTGCACCCAACACAGCCAACCGTGTTGGAAAGCTATCTGGTGTGGAGGCAGAAGCATGCACAAGGAGTCCTGGAGGCCAGCCCCGCTGCCACTGACCTTGGGAAAACCACTGACTCCACCCTCTCCAATCTTGTCCAGTGGGGGTTGATGGAGAACAAGGATGAGAAGACGCCAAGCTTCCTCCTAGCCCCAACCTTTCATGACTTTGTAAACACCAGAGAGTGATGAGGCAACTTGGTAGTTTTTACAATGGGGTTCAGGGAACAGGCCAACTTGGGTAATGGATGATTAAGAAGCCAAGGAGGAAGCAGGAAAATAGAAAGAAAATAGGTAGGTACACAAATAAAGAGGCTGTGGTAGTATGGGAATCCTAAAAAGACATCAAAGAGGAGGGCTTGGGTAGGGAGGAACTGGGGACACAGGCAGAAAGCACCCTGGGAGGAGAAGAAAGGCAGGGGCTGTATGACTCCCTAGAGACCTTTCTCAGCACCCCCACTGCCACTGCCAACCAGAGCCCCATCATTCCCTATAAACCACCAGTGCAAGGCTTTCTTTCATGTCTACTCCTGCACCTCCATCCCCAGACCACTAGGCCATGAGTATGGCATAGCTTGGCACCATTTACTGAGCACCTACTATGGGCCAGACCTCATGCTGGAGACTTGATATGCCTTTCTCATTGGATCTCATCAGTAATTCTGTGAGGGAGGTACCATTACTATCTCTATTTCACAGGCAAGGATATCGAGGTTACAAAATTTAAGTGACTTGCCCAAGGTCACACAGTTGTAACTGGCAGAGACCAGTGGGCTTTACCACTATGCTCTTCTGCCTTCCATGAAACTTTTGTTTGGTGTCTTGACTTGGAAAGGGCCCCAGAAAGATGGGTTCATTCAGGAACCACTTGCTGAAAGGTGGACTCTGCACAGGTAACCTGCTTACTTCTAGAGCAGGTTCAGGTGTTGACTTAAACCCATCACAAGGTCTCTGGCCTGTGACTCCTCTCAAGGCTCCCAGTAGGCTCCCAGACTGTTCCTGTGACTGGCACCTGGCCTCCATCGGACAAGCCCCATCCTGGCTGAAAACCACCACTGGGGCCAGGCTGGGGTGGCAGGAGAACGCAACTGAGTTGGGTCAGGGGGAAAGCGGCACTTTGGCACCTTAGAGCTCCATGGCTGGGGCCATGGGGGGCCGGGCCGTGAAGAAAGGCAAGCCCTTTGCTTCCTCCAGACTCAACTTCACAATTTCAGGGGTGAGAATTGGAGTAGGGTAGGGGAGTGGGCACAGGGCAGGAGCTTGAGACTCACAGAGACCCCAGTTTGACTCTTGGTTCTGCTGCGTGCCCAAGTCAATGAGTTTCCTTCTGCCTTGGTTAACAACGGTGCCCATCTCACCATTATTCTTGTGGAGATTAAATAAATTAAAGCATGCAAAGCACTTATTAGCACAAGGGCAGGCACATAGTAATAATAATTATGACTCTCCATGCATCACCTTATTTAATATTTTGGTGATTAAATGAAACTGAAGCAGAGAAAAGTTAAATCATTTCTCCAAATTCGCTTGCTAGGAGGGAGTAGATCCAGGATCCCAGAGCTCAAGCCCCGGCAGCACACCACGGCACCTCAGGAAATGTCAGCTCTTGCTGTCATGGTGTGTTGTTGTTATTGTCGAGGTCATTGTTGTTTGTTTTTTTTTTTTTGAGACGGAGTCTTGCTCTGTCGCCCAGACTGGAGTGCAGTGGCGCGATCTCAGCTCACTGCAACCTCCACCTCCCCGGTTCACACCATTCTCCTGCCTCAGCCTGCCAAGTAGCAGGGACTACAGGCGCCCGCCACCATGCCCGGCTAATTTTTTGTATTTTTTTTTGGTAGAGACGGGGTTTCACCATGTTAGCCAGGATGGTCTCGATCTCCTGATCTCGCAATTCGCCTGCCTCGGCCTCCCAAAGTGCTGGGATTACAGGCGTGAGCCACCGCGCCCAGCAGAGGTCATCGTTGTTATGAACTTTCTGGTGGTTGCAGTGGAAACTAATAACAGAGGATGAACCACAGGAATTCTCTCCAGGATGTCTGCAGAGGGTGAGTGATTTTCAGCAGTATTTTTCTATTGTTGCTGTAAGTAAGGGAAACAAACTAAAAGACTAAAACCAAGCACAGTGAGTCAGTCTTATTCCTAGAGAGGCTACCCTCTCTCAACGCCACCAAGAAGAGTAGCCTGCCCAGGTGATGCCGCATGTTTGGAATTATGAGCTGAAAAGAATAAATAAATAACCACAGGAAACAGCACCAAGCTAATGAAGGGAAAGAGGTCCCAGGTGACCCAGTGGGACTGTGGACACTCACTTGTAACAAAAGGCTGCATTGTGCTTGTAGAACCGGCAGAGGTTTCCGTCATCGGGGGGTGTGGCACAGAAGAAGATGGAAGGTGACAGATTGTATCGGCCAGACTTGCAAAATTCATCATTTTCTCGGGGAACACCAGGCTCGATGGCAACACGATCACCTGGAGAGGAAAACAAAGATGGCACCCTGCCCGAAGGTGGGAGCAGTCTGCCCCCTCTTTGGTCTGGTTCTTTGTTTTCCAACCTTTGAAAACAGCAGAAGCAGAGATGTTATGAAGGCTTGCATGCTCATGGGCAGACGCCAGATGTGAGAATCTAGCTTAATGAGCCCCCTCCTCCCTGGGGACCCGGAGTGTCCTAGGCAAGTAAGGAAACTTGGGATGAAGCACAGACTCACTCTGGGGGAAAAGGACCGCCCCCTCCTCCACAGTTCAGTGTGGCCTGCCCTTTTTCCAACTCCTGCAACAAGCCAAGCCACCCCTCTACCTCCACAGCCACTTCCCAGCTAAGGCAAGCCAAGTATAGTTCCCGTCTCACACTGCTGCAAAAGCGGTAGCTCATACATGGAGTTTGCAGGCATTTTTTCTTCATCTGTCTGGAAGATAGGGAGCATCTTTACAAAGAGCTGTAATTACAGCATGTTTTATGTCCAGTCTGGTTGTTTTTAGACAATAACTAGGAGTCAACTGATTCCTGGTAGTAGAACCACAACGGCCAATGACCTGCAGAGGCCTCATACAGCGGAGAGTAATAATTGAGGCTTCTGAACAGCCAGTTCTGTTATACTTCTATTCTATGCCTCACCATACCTGCTTGGAAACCCAGTCTGAGAACTGCTCTCTAATTGTTTTTTTTTTTTCTATCTTTTTATTATGAAGAATTTCAAACACACAGCAAAATTCAAAGAATTGCATAGTGAACACCTGGGTAGCCTCTTCCTACATTCTTCGAGGAACATCTAGCTATGTTCACTTTATCACATATCTATCTACCCCTCCGTCTCATCTCTGTCTCTCCTTCCATCAATCTATCTTCTTTTCTGATTCACTTCAAAGCAGGCTGCAGACATCACCCTTAAATGCTTCAGCCTGTATATCATTAACTAGAGTTCAGTATTTGTTTATGGTTCTTTTTTAAAGTTATCACCTAAGAATGCAAACCCCTTTTAAGATATAGAACACTACCACTACCTCAGAAATCTTATTCCTCTGTGTCCCTTCCCAGTCAATCCCCACCCCCATCCCCGGAGGATGTTTTGATTTTTTTTTGTTTTGATTTTTTTTTTTTTTTTTTGTACCACAGAGTAGTATTGCCTGTTCTAGCACATCACAAAAATGGGATCATACAGTAGATACTCTTTTGAATCTTGCTTCTTTCAGTTAGCATAATGCTTTTCAGATTGATCTATGTTGTTGTGGTATTAACTGTCTGGCCAGGTGCGGTGGCTCATGCTTATAATCTCATAATCACAGTACTTGGGAGGTCAAGGCAGGAGGATCGCTTGAACCCAGGAGTTTGAGACCAATCTGGGCAATATAGGAAGACTTCATCTTTACAAAAAAATTTTCTTTTTAATTAGCTGAGCATGGTGGTGTGTGCCTGTGGTCCCAGCTACTTGGGAGGCTGAGGCGGGAGAATCACTTGAGCCCAGGAGGTTGAGGCTGCAGAGAGACGTGATCACACCATTGCATTCCCACCTGGGTGATAGAGCAACACTGTCTCAAAAATAAATGACAGTTTGTTCCTTTTCATGGCTGAATAGTGTTCCAATGTAAGAGTATACTATAGTCAGTATCACCATTCTCTTATTGATGGAAAAAACCTGGTTGTTTCCAGTTTTCCTGTTGTTGGTTTTTTGGTTTCTCTGTGTGTGTATGTTTCTTTGGTTTTTTGTTTGTTTGTTTTTTGAGACAGAATCTCACTCTGTTATCCAGGTTGGAGTACAGTGGTGCAATCACAAGTCTCGACCTCCCCAAGTTCAGGTGATCCTCCTGCCTCAGCCTCCCAAGTGAGGGAGGAGAAAGAAAAAAAGCAGGCAGACAGTTAGGGCAGGTCCTCGGTGAAATTCTTTCAAACAAAAGAGTAGTCTGGAAAAAAATCAAGCTGCAGGCACATAGAGAGCAGCTTGGAAAAATCAAGCTACAGGCACAGATAAGGGAGTGAGGCCCAACATAGAAACGCCTTGGTTCTCTGTGTAATCAGGGGACTCCCAGGAAAAAGTTTCCTCCCCTTTTTGGGCATGTACACAGAGGGCTCCGTGAGAACTTGCATGGGGTGGGGTGGGGTGGGGGCTTGCCTAAAACATGCCCGTAGTTGCTCAGGCAAGAGAAGCTGCACCCTGTGCTTGCCTAAGACATGCTCACAGCTGCACAAATAAGGGAAGATACACAGGTAGCCACACAGATAAGGTAAGTTGCACAGCACCTGCACAGATAAGGGAAGTTTCTTATAAAAACCTTCGTATTTAACTGTAAAACAACAACCCTATTTCAGGTCGATCCCCTGCTCTGCTGCTGAGAGCTTTCCTCTTTCACTTATTAAACTTTCACTCCAACCTCACCCTTGGTGTCCATGCTCCTTAATTTTCTTGGTCATGAGACAAAGAACTCTGGATAACACCTTAGACAAGGAGACTGCTACAATGACCTAGACTGCTTCACCCATAGGGGGTCATCTGGGATATGTCGGAAGGGTGAGTAGGAGCAACCCTCCAATACTTTACTTTCTGCGGTTTCTTATCCACAGTTTGTTTTTTTTTTTTCCCTCTCAAAATCAAATAAATACCAGGCCTCTGTTGGTCAGTTAAGAGTGGTTAGTGCAGCCACCAGATCTGTAAGACTCAGAGGACAGGCTTGCTGGAGAGGACTCTGTCAATCCCCCATCGCCCTCGGGTGTTGGGAATGTCAGCTGTGTTCCAATCCAGTTTCCATTCATGGAAGACCTAGCCATCACATGGGGTTGGAAGGAGGTCCTGGGACAACTGAAGGTTTCTGGTTGAGGCTACACCTCAGTGTTATCTGAAGGCTCCTGAACTAACTCTAGTCCCTGACAGCCCATCATGGTGTTGGCGCCAGGACTTCCAGTCTTTCCTATCACATTTTCTTCCATTCTCTCCTTTGTGGCTATCATGTCTCCTATCCCTTCTTTGTATGCTATGCTGAAGGTGTTTTTACAACCTGGGAATATAATTTTGTTGGATAGAGTCAGCCAGTGCCTTAGTAAGCAGGAATGTAACTCAAATTGCTGTTTTTGTGATTTCCTAGAAACAGGGAGAATTCAAGATTTTAGTCTAAATTTTCACCTAGTAAGGACCTTTTTGTCCCCCAGTGATAGGTATTCATGGCATTGTATGGGAGGATATTTCACCGCCTCAGTGAATACCTGGTCCTCTCCCAATTTTGGGTTTATTTTTTCCTGCAGTAAATAACCCAGTACTGGTCCAAGTGAAGAACCTTCTCTTTCCTTTCCTTCCTTCCTTCCTTCTCTCCTTTCCTTTCCTTCCTTCCTTCCTTCCTTCTTCCTTCCTTCCTTCCTTCCTTCCTTCCTTCCTTCCGTTCCTTGCCTTCGCTTGTCCATTGCCTTCCTTCCTCCTTCACTTCCTTCCTCCTTCCTGGTGCTTCTTTCCTTCGCGGCTTCCTTCCGTCCTTCCTTCCTTCCTTTCGCGTTCCTTTTCTTTCCTTCCTTTCCTCTCTTTCCTTCTTTCCTTTCCTTCGTTTTTCTTTTCTTTTTCTTTTTCTTTTTTTTGATGGAGTCTCGCTCTGTCGCCCAGGCTGGAGTGCAGTGGCACAATCTGGGCTCACTGCAAGCTCTGCCTCCCATGCCATTCCCCTGCCTCAGCCTCCCAAGTAGCTGGGACTACACACACCTGCCACCACACCTGGCTAATTTTTGTATTTTTAGTAGAGACAGGGTTTCACCATGTTGGCCAGGATGGTCTCCATCTCCTGACCTCATGATCCGCCCACCTCGGCCTCCCAAAGTGCTGGGATTACAGGCGTGAGCCAACGCACCCAGCCAAATCTTTTTTTCTATTCATAAAACTTTTATTCCACTTAGATGAATTTAATACACGTGTTCTTAATAATTATGCTTGGATTGTTCATAAAAATTTCATAAGACATTAAACAAAGCTAGCCATCATCTCAAGTTGTTTCCCTGTTAACTATTTTACAGCACATGCATGTTAGGCAAGTATCAAAAAAAAAAAAAAAAAAATCACAAAAGCAAAAAACCTAAAAAAAGGTTAAATACATGGGTTTTTGTTTTACTGCTGTGCTTGATATACATAAGTAATGAATATCAGTCAATTCAGTTTTACTGCATCTTTACTTTTACATTTGTTCTTTGGTTGCCTAAAACATTTAAATACAAATACAATGAGCGTAGCAAAAATAATGAAAGCTAACAGCAGGTAACTGTACAAATAATGGAACGTGAACCGTTTCTGCCCTTACCCAGAGTAAGATGGGTTACGATTGTCTACAGGAAAACTTCTGCAGCTGTAGTCAAAGGTGTGCACATTGAGATTGAGTATTCCACAGATATACCTGGTTTAACATGTGGGATCCATGGGATAACTGTTTCTATCACAGCCTTGCAAGTGCTCCAAACCTTAAAGTACCCACAATTACTACACCTGTGACTGGAACCAATGATCCCTTTAATTCTCCACCAGGACAAACCAATATGTAGGCAGTTTTCTTTGCTTAGATATGGAAGCAGTTTTAACACAGGCCCTTGTGAAGCTGCAATGTACCAAAAGTACTGTGTCAAACATTTATAAGTTGTATAAAAATTCCACATCCCCATATTGGCCACCTCAAGATGAAAACAGGTAAATCCCTAAATGTTAACTGGCTCTACTCCCCTACTATTAAACATAAAAACCACATGGGAAATACAGAAATTCAAATAGAAGTAACATAAACCTGTCATAAATCGTAAACAAAAACTATTTGTGGGACAGCACAGATGACAAACGGTCTACTGTGTAAATTTTAGGAAGCAGACAAAAGTTGGAAGGCTGGTTAATTTTCCCCTCGTTCTCCTGCTTCAGCTTCGTCTCCTTGGGTATCTGATGTCCACAACGTCAAGTTGTCTCTCAGTAAATGCATTATTAGCATGCTGTCTTTGTATGACTCTTCACTTAATGTATCAAGTT